ACATCGCGTGTAATTGACCGTTTTAAAGTGAACAATTCATGGGTTTTTAGTGCAATCACAATGTTGTGCACCCACCGCCCCATCAGGAAACCCGCACCCCTCAGGAGCCACTCCACGTTGCCGCCTCCCGCAGCCCCTGGCAGCCACCAGTCTGCGCTTGGCCACTGTGGACTTACCTATTTTAGGTGTTTCTCATGAGTGGAATCATACACTGTGGGTTTTGGCTTCTTTCACTCCACACGGTGTGTTTGAGGTTGGTCCGTGTTGAATGGTGTTGACCCTTCATTCCTTTATACAGCAGAATTATATTCCATTGTGTGGCACACATCAATAGAACTGTTTGATAGCTAGCGGCTTTTCATATGAGGAAACTGAGGCTGCCCAGGCCATGGAGCCCTGGGGCCGGGGATGGAGGAGGAGGAGCAGCAGCAGATAGCCAGACATCTCTGTCTCAGGGTGCTTTCTTTCTCCTGCCCCCACCCTGCTCCACCCTTTTCTCTGTGCCTGGCCAGGAAGCAGCAGTGCTTGGGGAGGAAGTGAGTGGGGGTCTCCTCCAGCTGGGGCTGGATGCTGGACTGTAGCTGCGGCTGTGGGTCTGGATCTGGTCCTCAGAGTTCTGGCTCCCCCCACCTCCTCCCAGGCCCCACCCTGGGCCCCGCACATGTAGTTTCTGTTGACCAGGGTCCCAAGAGAGGCAGCAGGCGGGAGCTCCCTTATTCGCCAGCCAAGCCTTCTGATGCCTGGAGAGGCTGGGGGCCTTGCCTGGGGCCACCCAGCCTAGGGTTCCCCTGGCGCTTTCCGGATCCCCTTTGGCCCACCATCCCCGCCCCCATGGCCTTCATCGAATCATGTCCTGGGGGATCTTCACGTGTCTTTCCCACCATCAAAGCTCTGCTAGGCAGACGGGCTCCAGGAAGTGGCCTGTCAGCAGATTTTGGCCAAGGGATGCTTTTCCAAAGTATGGAGGGGTGGTCGCCGATGGCTGCTCGAGAGATGGGCGTTCTTTTGCTGAGCAGATGACTGGATGCTGGCTTATTCTGGATCTGAGCGTGGTTTTGGCTTTGGCCACAGGCTCTGTCTGGGGGCTGCTGCCTGTGCTTGTTTCTGGTGTTTGATGATTTGTGGTCTTCATTAAGTCAGTCAACAAGTGATTTGCAGCCCAGCGTCAGATGGGGAAGACCCAGGAAGCAGAATGAGTGGCCGTGAAGTGACCCGGCCCAGGGTCCAACCTGCCTGGAACGCACGTCACTCTCAGGGGAGCGGGAGGAGTCACCCGGATTCCAGCGCCAGCCTTTGTGGCAGGTCTGGATGCAGGTCTGGCTCCAAAACAAACAACGGAACAAAAGGAGAGGGGAGGCCGGACCCGGCTGCTCTCAGGCCCCGCTTCCTGGTGCTGTCGCATGGGGCCCGTTTGGTCTGCTCCTGGGTTTCAGGGTCCTGCCTGGCATGGCGAGGGTCTAGGCAGGAAGACGGTGCCAGATCTTTGGACTAAAAATATGCCCACGCCTTCCTGTGCCTCAGTTTCCCTACCTATAAAAGAAGGCTTAAGAGTAGCAGAATCCCACCTTTGGCTTTGGGGCAGGTCTACGGAAAGCCCCCGGGGGGTGTTTCCCTGGGAAGGCTGGAGGGCAGGCGAGCTGTTCAAAGGAGACATCTGGGTCCCCTGCCAGTCCAGTCCACGGGTCCTTGTCAGGCACATCTGGTCTTTGTCCTAAAACCCTTCTGTGGCTCCTTGTGGCTGAATGACCACGTGGATGGTGGAGACAAGCCAGGCTCGCCCGGTTCAAGTTCCAGCTCAGCCACTAGCTGCTGACCTTGGGCAAGCCACTCACTCTCTCCGGGCCTGCCTCCTGCTCTGTCTGTGTCTGGCGGCTCAGGGGCATGCCTGCCTTTGCCGCGGTGGCTCGAGGCCAGCGGTGAACCAGTGGACCTGCTTAGCACAGCGCTGGGCACACTGGGAGCTGCTGGGCCTGTGTTGTGGCTGCTGTCATTGTTATTAACACTGTTCCTCTCAAGACGCTCCTGAGACTGAAAAGGTGACAGTGTGACTGTTGGGGCTGGAGGCCAGGCCCAGTGTCCATCTGAGCCGCTTCCCTCCACCCCTGTCAGCTCCCTGACCTCATCGCCACACCCGCCTCACCCCTGCACTCCGGCCGCGCCGGCCTTCTCTCTGCTTTGACACACCCCGCGTGGTCCAGGCTGCAGACCTCCACTTCTGCCATGCTCCTGCGGGGTGCCTTGTCGTCATACGGCTGCTGTTTGGGACACATTCTTGGGCCCAACTCTTGGCTGCTGGGGCAGGGGAGACTCTAGGGGAGCCTCTGCCTCCTGGGAGCTTCAGTAGCTTCACTGGGAGAAGCTTCACTGCCCCTTCTCCAGATGGAAGTTGACACCCAGAGCAGCTCAGACTTGCCTCTGAGTCACACAGCTAATTGCAGCCAAGGTTCAGACTCCTGGCTGACTACCAAGCCATCATTGTTGGCCTGTGTGTGTGTGTGTGTGTGTGTGTGTGTGTCCATGTGTCCATGTGTATTATTTGGCCGTGTCTTCTTTTCTAGGCCTGTCACCAAGATGACCCTAGATCAGAATGCCAGCGTGAGGGGGTCACACTTTCTTTTCCTAGGATTAAAAGGACAGAAATACTTGCAAGGCAGAGCCTGCCCCTCTGGCCATCTGGCTCTCAGGACAGGGGACGGGGGAGGGACGGGCTGGGGCCTGGGTTCCCAGCCAGGGCGCCGGAGCTGCGCTGCGGGGAGGAGGTGCGGTGCCACCGGGCTGGTCTGGGCTGGGAGGACGCGGGGTAAAGGGGGAGAAGCAGGGCTGGAGCTCAGTCCGCCTGCCAGCAAGCGGGGAGTGAAGAGGTTTTTCTAGCCATGCTATAAAAAGGCCTCACAGTGTTTCAGCTCCCGAGTGTCGGCTGGAAGCCCGCCAGGGTTACCATGGCGATGAGGAGTTATTACCCACTGCCAAGGCTGGGAGAAAAAGCTCGTACTTTTGGCTTCCACACAAGAGGAGTGGACTTATGTAATTCCCTGTGTTTATAGGCCCGGAGTGGCAGAGGCGAGAAAGGATTGCTGGAGGCCCGACGTCTCGATCGCAGGCCAGCTGTGGGGTCAGGAGGCCCCGCAGTCATCCCTGGTGGGCCTTGGCCTGCCCCGGATTTGGGGGGCATTGGGCTGGAAGCCTGGGGGTCCTGGCCTGGCCGCTGCAGGGCCTCCCTGGCCGGGGTGGGAGCCGTAGTCTCGCGGGAAGGTGAGGCCGCCCTCTGGGGCCGCCCCTCTGTGGGTGTCATCCTGGGGGAAGGATGGGTCTGATGTTGGCGGCCGTGCGCCTCCTGGAAGCCGGTGGCGCTGCCTGTGTGTGTGGACTCCGCTGGCCTGCTGGCTGGCACTTTCTCTTTCTCTTTTTCTTTTTTTTTCTTGTGGGAGAGTTACTTCAAGTTGTGTTTGGAGCTGACGTGAGGGACGCTGGTCATGTGCTCGGGTAAGAGAAGTCGTCGGGCTTGGCGTGGGCAGGGAGGCGGGGTGTGGCCAGGTCGCCCCGGCGGGGGGAGGTGGGCGCAGACCCGAGTGGGAGCCATGGCCTGCTGGCTCCATGCAGGGGCGCCAGGTGGGGGCCGGGGAATTCATCTGGAAAGAGCCCCAGTTCTGTCGCTGGAGGTGGTGGCCAGGGCGGGGGGCTGAGTGCCGCAGGTCAGCTGGCAGGGTGGCTGGAGCCTCCTCTGGTGGGGCAGTGTTGTTGGTCCTGAGCTCAGCAGGACGGTGGGCAGCGCCCTCTTATCGGACAAAGTTGCCGAAGTCACAGGAAAGAGCGCACTCCCAGGCGCTGGCTGGGCTGCGGGGAAGGCTTCTTGGCTGGCCCTCGTGGGAGGGACCTGGGTGGGCACAGCACTTCTCTCCCCGAGCCTCAGTGCAGGCCCAGCAGGTGGGGGGAGTTTGGTGAGCTGTGGGGGCTCAGGGGGCTTCTGTTTCCGGAATTGACTTCAGGAGGGTATGGGACGTGGGTGCTCCGCAGGCTGGGCATTGGGCTCTGGGGTGGGCTGGGGCAGGGGAGAGCCAGGTGCAGGCAGCACTGCGGCCCGGCCCGGCGCCCGGCTCCCCACCGAGGTGGCGCTTGGCTCGCTGCCCATGTCTGGTTTGAAATCAGCGCCACCGGCCCAGGCTTGCCCAGGGACTTGGCAGCGAGGAGCCGGGATAAACACTGGAAAGTTGGAAGGGCTTCCTGAGCTCACAAGGAGCCTTTAGTTGCAAGCTGGGAGGGATGAGGGAGTGATTTGTCCTGAGCCTGGGTGCGCCATGGCCATAGGGAGATGGCGGGAATGGCTCCTGGAGACCTCCGAGCCCAGGCTGGGGAGGGGAGGGGGCTGGGCTTCCAGGCACTGTTGCTCCTTTGCCATGGACCTGGATGTGAGTCCTGGTTCCGTTATTTCTGTGCTGTGTGACCTTGGGCTTGTCACCTCCCCTTTCAGACCTCTGTTTCCTCATCTGTAAAATGGGGCAACAGTGGGGTCCACACAAGCATGGGGCTGATGGGAGAAGGAGCTGCAGTTCTGGGGGTAATTCGGGGCAGACTGCCTGGGTTCCTGTCTTGGTTGGACACTTCCTGGCTGTGTGACCTTGGGCAAGTCACTTCCTGTCTCTGAGCCTCCGTTCTCCCATCAGGCAAATGGACACTGCATCTCTCCCACCCCAGGGGCTGCATGGCTTAGGGGAGTGAATGGACCTGCCTCCGGCTTATCATAGGCTCGCAGTCGGTAATTGGCTGGCGCTGCAGTTCTTTTCTCGATGATGACAATCACTGCACCTGGACCGAGGATTGGGGGTGTCCGGGGATGTCCGCATCTCAGGGCAATGGTGTTTGTGAAGTTGCAGTGGCTGGACTGAGGTTCCAGTCCTGGCTCTGTCCCTCAAGGGTGGTGTGACCTTGGGCGAATCCTGGAATCCCATTGGGTCCTCGGTTTCCTTGTCCTTTACTGCAGTGGTGGCACTGCAGCCTGCTGGCGTCTCGGGGGACTCTGGAGGGGTCCACGCAGCGCTTCCCTGGCTGGACCTCCGCGAGTGTAACCACAAGGTTCAAGGTTGGACTTAAGTTTGAGTTTCATCCATTTTTCTTTTCTTCTCTGCTGGGAGCTCTCTCTCCTGTTTATAGAAACCCAGGCCCAGATAATGGGGGGTGGGCCCAGTGGGTGCTCCCCGGACTCTGTCTTCGTTTGGGCCTGGGCTCGGATTCCCAGGACCCCCCTCATGTCTGTCTGACTGCCCCATCTCCCTCTTAGCCTGAGCCCCTCCATGCCAGCTCTGGGCCAGGCACCCCCCATAGTGCCTGGTGTGGCCTGGAGGCAAGGGCCGGAGGGCCAGTTCTCTTGTGAAAGGTGGCAGCCATCCTTTGCTTGTAAGTGACACCGGATGCTGGGCTGTTGGCTGGCTCAGGGCCTCCCCTCTTGGGCCAGCAGGAGCCAGCGGGGAGTTCTCCAGGTGTTCAGGCCCCCCGAGCCAGCTGCCCACTGTCTCATTGTCATGGGATCTCTCCTGGAACCTCCAGAATGGGCTCCAAAGGTGAGGGGTGCTCATATGTGTCCTCTCGTCACCCCCAAGGCCTTGGTGTCTACTTGGGTTGGCCACAGACCTGTGTCTTGGCTGCCCCGGGCCTTTCCCAAAGTCCTCAGGGACTTGATTTTCCTACCCAGTGGGGAAGAGTCCTGGTTGAGGTTCAGAGCAGAGGTCAGCACAGGGGCCTTGGTGATGGGGCAGCTCGGCACGGACCAGGAGCCATCACTGGAGTCTACACGTGATGAGAACACACAGAACTAAATACACGCATACTCACATGCACACACGCTCACACTCACATGCACACCCCCCCACATGTACACACATACATGCACACATGCACATGTACACTCGCATGCATACTCACACACATGTACATGCACACACACACTCAGTCCTGCACAGATGCACTGCACACTCACACGCACATACTCATACAAGTGAGTGCACTGGATGCTGCTGTGGTCCGCATGCAGCTGGCTGTGTCCATGCTGCCTTTCTATATGATACAGACAATGAATTGTGGCTGTCTCAGGATGCTATTCTTGGGGGAGGCTGAGTGAAGGGTGCACAGAATCCTGGGATCTCCAGATTTTCTTTTTTTTCTTTTTTGAGACCGAGTCTTGCTCTGTCACCCAGGCTGGAGTGCAGTGCAGTGGTGCGATCTCAGCTCACTGCAAGCTCTGCCTCCTAGGTTCCAGCAATTCTCCTGCCGCAGCCTCCCAAGTTGATAGGACTACAGGCATGTGCCACCAAGCCCAGCTAATGTTTGGATTTTTAGTGGAGATGGGGTTTTGCCATGTTGGTCTGGCTGGTCTCAAACTCCTGACCTCAAGTGATCCGCCAGCCTTGGCCTCCCAGAGTGCTGGGATTACAGGCACCGGCCACCACACCGAGCCTTGAGATACTGTTTCTTCCAATTGCATGTGAATCTACAATTATCTTAAAATAAAAAGTTCAAAAAAGACAGGGTGGGCTCAGGGGCCTGGCTGCGTGTCCTGGGCTCAGGCTTGAATCGGCCTCTTTGGAGTTGTGTGCATTTGAGCCAGTCCCTCTCAGCCTCCGTTTCCTCATCTGGAAAATGAGGACAATGTTTAGTACCTCGTAGAGCGCCTGGGGCTTACAGGAAGAGACACGCGCTCAGTGCTTAGGAAGTGCTGGTGGTCTTGAGGGCTGCGTGAAGGTTGTCCGTTGCTGCGGCTGTGATGGTGGACGTGATTGCTGTGCTGTGGCCACACTTCCTACTTCGTCCACAATGGGAAGAGAGGCGCCTCTCTGCTGTTCAGATGGGGAAGCCGAGGCTTGTGTGGTCAGGTTGCCCATCTGAAGGCACAAGATTTGCCATGGCCAGAGCTGGGGCCAGCACGCAGGTGGGAGCCTGTGCTTGATGGCTCTTTGGGTGGTGGCTGTGGGGAGGTCACTTACACTCTCCGAGCTGCTGTCCCCTCCTCCTTCTTGCCCCTTGTGGGCTGGGCTAAGGGGCCGGGACAGGGGGCAGGGCTGATGACCTTTGAGAGCCAGATAGCCTTGACCTCGGTCTCCCACCCAGAGCCGGCACTGCTCAGCTGACTTTCTCCGAGGCTTCCTTAGCATCCCCGAAGTGGGGCTCAGGCGACTGTGGGCCCTCAACATCCCAGGAAGCCCCGGTGGGACTTGCTTTGTGCCTAAGGATGCTGGAGGGTGCGGGTCTGTCCCTGCATGGGTGACAGCTGCGCCCACGTCTCCCTGAGCACTTGTCCTCTGGCTGTGTTCTTTCCTCCTTCAGTGGGAGAAAGGCTTTCAAGGGCTGGAAGCAGCTCCTGAGGCTGAGCTGGGTTTATCCCCTGGCGATCACCCCAGAGAAATGTGTTTTAGTTCAGCCCGAGCTGATCCTCAGGTGGAAACTTTGCCCAGGACTCCTGAAAGATGGTCCCCCATGAAGCGGGCCTATAACTGGGCTTGGTGCCTTGGACATCCCAGGGGTTGCAGATGGGGTTTGCGTTGTGCCTCAGGGTCACAAGTGGTGCCTGCAGGGCCTGGGGGGGCTCCCATGGCTGAGCTGTTGTAAGGCTGTTCCTGTCATCACAGTGGCTTGGGGGAGGCTGGTGTCCTGAAGGCACTGGTCATAGCTTAGGGTCTGCGGGTGGCGGGTAGGACGGGGCTTGGGGGCATCCAGCCCCGTGAGCCTCTTCTTTGCTGTTCTCTGGGCCCCTGATCACGCGCCTGCCTCAGGACCTTCGCACTGGCCAGAACCTCTTTTTTGTTGTTGTTCTTTTTTTGAGACAAGGTGTCACTCTTTCACTTAGGCTGGAACGCAGAGCCCCGGCCACCTTTCTTTCACTCTGAGTCAAGCGATTCTCCTGCCTCTCAAGTAGCTGGGACTGCAGGCGCCCACCACCACACCTGACGAATTTTTGTATTTTTTTTTTTTTTTGAGACGGAGTTTCGCTCTTGTTACCCAGGCTGGAGTGCAATGGCGCAATCTCGGCTCACCGCAACCTCCGCCTCCTGGGTTCAGGCAATTCTCCTGCCTCAGCCTCCTGAGTAGCTGGGATTACAGGCACGCACCACCGTGCCCAGCTAATTTTTTGTAATTTTTAGTAGAGACGGGGTTTCACCATGTTGACCAGGATGGTCTCGATCTCTTGACCTCGTGATCCACCCGCCTCGGCCTCCCAAAGTGCTGGGATTACAGGCTTGAGCCACCGCGCCCGGCCCGAATTTTTGTATTTTGAGTAGAGAGGGGATTTTGCCATGTTGGCCAGGTCTTGAACTCCTGACCTCAAGTGATCATCCCGCCTCGGCCTTCCACAGTGCTGGGAGGCCTGAGCCTCCACGTCTGGCCTGGTGTAACCTCCTTCGGGAACACCTTTCTGAGACCATCAGCCGTCTTGACTTAGGCCTCTGCTCTAATGGTGCCCCCGAGAGTGGCCTGATGTCACGCAATGACTCCCTGTGACACCTTCACTGCTCCTCCGACCCGCGGCCACCAGGGTCTGCGGTGTGCCCTGACCCCATCCCTACCTTGTTTCAGGCTGTTTGGACTGGGGGACTCGCAAACAACAGAGCTTCATTGCTCCTGGTTATGGAGGCCAGACGGTCAACACCAAGTTGCTGGCAAGTTTCCTGTGACGAGGGGAGGGCCTGTTTCCTGGTTCGTAGATGGCGGCTTCTCCCAGGAAGAAGGGCAGGGCGGCTATCCAGGGCCTCTTGGTTAAAAAGGAGGGGCACGGACCCCACTCCTGACAGCTCTACCCTGGTAACCTCATCCCCTCCCGGAGGCCCCGCACTCTGACATTGTCCCATGGCAATTGGATCTCAAGAGACAGACTCACACTCACACTCACACTCCAGCAGCCCTCCGTCCGGGAGTCTGTTAGACACACACACACACTCCAGCAGCCCTCCGTCTGGGAGTCCGTTAGACACACACTCACACTCACACTCCAGCAGCCCTCCATCCGGGAGTTCGTTAGACACACACTCACACTCACACTCCAGCAGCCCTCCATCCGGGAGTCCGTTAGACACACGCTCACACTCCAGCAGCCCTCCGTCCGGGAGTCCGTTAGACACACACTCACACTCCAGCAGCCCTCCTTCCGGGAGTCTGTTAGACACACACTCACACTCACACTCCAGCAGCCCTCCATCCGGGAGTCTGTTAGACACACACTCACACTCACACTCCAGCAGCCCTCCATCCGGGAGTCTGTTAGACACACACTCACACTCACACTCCAGCAGCCCTCCATCCGGGAGTCTGTTAGACACACACTCACACTCACACTCCAGCAGCCCTCCGTCCGGGAGTCTGTTAGACACACACTCACACTCACAATCCAGCAGCCCTCCGTCCGGGAGTCTGTTACATACACACTCACACTCACACTCCAGCAGCCCTCCCTCCGGGAGTCTGTTACATACACACTCACACTCCAGCAGCCCTCCCTCCGGGAGTCTGTTAGATACACACTCACACTCACACTCCAGCAGCCCTCCGTCCGGGAGTCTGTTACATACACACTCACACTCCAGCAGCCCTCCCTCCGGGAGTCTGTTACATACACACTCACACTCCAGCAGCCCTCCCTCCGGGAGTCTGTTAGATACACACTCACACTCACACTCCAGCAGCCCTCCGTCCGGGAGTCCGTTAGACACACACTCACACTCACACTCCAGCAGCCCTCCGTCCGGGAGTCCGTTAGACACACACTCACACTCACACTCCAGCAGCCCTCCGTCCGGGAGTCCGTTAGACACACACTCACACTCACACTCCAGCAGCCCTCCGTCCGGGAGTCCGTTAGACACACACTCACACTCACACTCCAGCAGCCCTCCGTCCGGGAGTCCGTTAGACACACACTCACACTCACACTCCAGCAGCCCTCCGTCCGGGAGTCCGTTAGACACACACTCACACTCACACTCCAGCAGCCCTCCGTCCGGGAGTCCGTTAGACACACACTCACACTCACACTCCAGCAGCCCTCCGTCCGGGAGTCCGTTAGACACACACTCACACTCACACTCCAGCAGCCCTCCGTCCGGGAGTCCGTTAGACACACACTCACACTCACACTCCAGCAGCCCTCCGTCCGGGAGTCTGTTACATACACACTCACACTCACACTCCAGCAGCCCTCCATCCGGGAGTCTGTTAGACACACACTCACACTCACACTCCAGCAGCCCTCCGTCCGGGAGTCCGTTAGACACACACTCACACTCACACTCCAGCAGCCCTCCGTCCGGGAGTCCGTTAGACACACACTCACACTCACACTCCAGCAGCCCTCCGTCCGGGAGTCTGTTAGACACACACTCACACTCACACTCCAGCAGCCCTCCGTCCGGGAGTCTGTTAGACACACACACTCACACTCCAGCAGCCCTCCGTCCGGGAGTCTGTTACATACACACTCACACTCACACTCCAGCAGCCCTCCGTCCGGGAGTCTGTTAGACACACACTCACACTCACACTCCAGCAGCCCTCCATCCGGGAGTCTGTTCATCTTGTCACCGCTGTGTCCCCAGCACTGGGCATGTAGCAGGCACTCAGGAGACAGGTGTGCCTGGCTCAGTGTCCCCCACGAGGCCTCTGGGGAAGGAGGCACTGCTTCCTTCCTCAGTCCTTCCTGCTGTACCCTCCAGGGCTCTGGCTGGGGAGGCGAAGGCCCTGCAGGCTGGATTTCCCACGCAGCCCATTTCTTTCCTCCCAGAAAGTTCTTCAGCACGGGACTGGGCATGCATTTTGGGGACGATTTGGAAAACCAGGAAAAGTTCTTGCGCTTTTTCTCTGACTGAGGTACCCACCGAGCATCTCCAGAGAGTCTCCCCCTCTCTTCCTGAGAAGGAACGCAGGGGTGCTGTAGGCCTGGGATGTGAGGGAGGGGTGCCGGCAGCCTCAGCCTTGCGTGTTGGGGACCCAGGCGAGGTGAGCCTTCCACACACCTGAGTTCATAGTGTTCCCATAGCCTTTTAAAGTGGGCATGGACCACCCTCTCCTTATAAGGCACAGAGAGGGTAGGCAGCTTGCTCAAAGACACACAGCAGCAGGCCTGCAGTATTAGCAAGTGAATGGCATTTCCAAGGCCCTGGAGTCTTTGCTCAGGGTCATGCTTAGCATGTTGAGGGTCTGACCCTGTTCCATCCCCAGAAGCCCCTCTTACTGTCTCCGGGGCGGGTCCTGTTTTCTGGGGATCTGACTCAGACCTGGGAGGGGCCCGTTTCCCAGGCTGAGAGAATGCCTCATTTAGCCCACACTTTCCAGTTTGGCTTAGAAAGTGAGAGGGCAGGAGGGGCACCCCAGAGTGGAGGAGCTGCCCCTTCCTCTGAGTCGTCCATTTGCATGACAATGAGCCCTTTGTTCCTGGGGCCAGCCTCCTTCCCAGGCTAATAACATAATTCCCGGCCTGTGATGTCATAATGGCCCTTTCTGTGGCTGGGGTCAGAGGCTGGGTGGGCAGCTGTGTGGGCTGGGCCAGGCCTGGTAATACCCGGAGGAGGTGGTGGTTGCCAGGGGCCTGTGTGTCAAGCTGTCTCCTTCCCGGGAGAGCGGCAGGAGGTGGGATCTGCTTCCCTGTGGACACTGGAGCCAATCGAGGCCCAGGAAGCCCTTGCTGGCCCCACTGTTTGTCTGGCCCCCTGCAAGCCTCCTCTTGGCCTACGGAGTGGGGGTGACTCACTGCCAGCTTGGCCCTCGGCCGAGAGGCGTGGGCGTGAGAGTCCCCTGCTTCCTGTAAATGTGAGGGAGGCCCATGCCCAGCGGCTACTGTGTTGGGGCCAGGTTGAAACTGGGAAAGCCAGGTTCAAACCTTGGTCCCGCTCCGTCCCGTGGGCAACAGCTAACTCCCTGTGCCTCTATTTCCCCGTCGGCTTAATGGGGTTCCGCTGGAGCTTGGACTCAGAGCTAGGCAGGGAGTGAGCTTTCGGGAAATGGGCAATGTCGGAAAAGGCGGGGGCTGGTGGAGTGGGCTGAGTGGTGGGCCCCAAGAGATGGGTCCACGTCTTAGTCTGCAGGCCCTGTCAGAGGGAGAGCGTCTTTGCCAAAAGGTCTTTGCAGATGTGTTTTGAGATGAGCCCATCCTGGGTTACCCAGGTGGGCCCCGAATGCAGAGACCAGTGTCCTTAGAAGAGGCAGGCGAGGAGAGAGCAGGATGACAGGGCTACAGGAAGACCAAGGCGGGGACTGCAGGGATGAAGCCACAAGCCAAGGAGTGCCGGAGCCTCTGGCAGCCGGAAGAGGCTGGAGGGAGTGGGTCTCCGCTGCCGCCTTGACTTTGGACTGCTGGCCTCTGGAACTGTTAGAGAGTGAATTGCTGCTGCTGGCCCGGCGCGGTGCCTCCCGCCTGTAGTCCCAGCACTTGGGGAGGCCGAGGTGGGCGTGTCACTTGAGCCCAGGGTTTCAAGATCAGCCTGGGCAACATGGCGAGACCCTGTCTCTACAAAAAGTACAAAATTAGCCGGACGTGCTGGTGGCACGCCTGTGGTCCCAGGCTGAGGTGGGGGGCTCCATTGAGCCTTGCGGGGTCAAGGCCGCAGTGAGTCATGACTGTGCCCCTGCACTCCAGCCTGGGCCACAGAGCGAGACTCTGTCAAAAAATCATAACAAGATAAGAACAAATAAGTCACACTGTTCGAATCGGCCTGGTTTGTGGTCAGTTTTATGGAAAGACCGCAGCTGGTGACCCCTTCTCTGCAGGTGGGGGACTGGCCCTCACGGGTGGGTGGTACTGTTCCCCACTCCCAGCCTGAGGGTGCAGGACAAGTTTGGGTGGTTGAGAGCCCCTTTTTTCCTAGGGGTGCAGGAAGCCCCACTGGGGAGTCCAGACCTTCCAGTAAGGAGGCCTTGCTTGAACCTGCCTTTCTTGCTGAGAATCAAACCCACAGAGCTCTAGAACACGCTTGCCTCTCGCCATTTGCTGTCCCTCCTCAGGCAGCCTGGCTAAGGGGACAGGACCCGGAGGCAGGAGGCTCTCTGATTCTACCCAGCCTTCTCCCCAGGCCCCGGACACCCTTTCCCCACACGTCTGGTGACTCCCGAAGAACCTGTGTGGCCCTCATCCGCAAACAAGCCCAGGTTTGCCAAATGCCCTTGACAAATGGAGGAACTAGGCCCAGAGAGGCCAGGCCACTTGGCGGAGGCCACACAGCACCCTAGTGGTAGTGACGGCCCCACAGTCTCACCACGGGCACTGGGGCTCCTGGGAGTGGGGATCACAGTTCTCCGCCACATGGAGGCCTGGAGTGGAGCGGGCCGGCCATGTGGACCTGAGGTCGTTATCTGATATTAGGGACACTCGGCTGCCTTCGATGGGCCTGGCCCGGTGTGGGTGGCACCTGGTCTGGGCTGTAAGCACACCCCATCTGCGCTCTTGGCCTCGGTCTGTTTGCGCACTGGTGTTTGAGCTTCCGCTCTGAGCATGTTTGTGCATTCAGCAAGCGTTTATCGAGCACCTGCCGCGTGCAGTGTGCTGGGACTCTGGGCACACAAAGCTGTGACTCTCGCTTCATGGATCCTGTATATGGGGCTGTGGGGGGAGAGGAGGGGAATGAGGCAGCAAGGGTTGGAGTCCAGGTTCCGGGTCCTGATGAGGGAGGTGAGGATACAGCCTTTCCTGTCCTCCTCGGCCCGGGGTGGGCAACGTGCAGCAGGCTCTCAGGAGGACATGGAGAGGCCCACAGCCTGTCTGCGGTGGCCCATGGTCACCTTTGGCTGGCAGGACTTGTCCTGGTCTCTTGAGCAGGGACACGGGATGGGAGGCCTGCAAGGTCTGGCTCCAGCCTGGTAGAAGAGACGACGGTCTCCTCCAGCCTGAGCAGGGGCATGGGTACGCTGGTGGCGGGGTCCCAGGACACAGTGGGTGAGCTGGATGCAGGAGGCGGGTTGCCTGGGTTTGTATCCAGGCTGTGCCCTTGCCAGCTGTGTGACTTTGGGCAAGTTGCTTAGCCTCTCTGTGCTGCAGTCTGTCCACCTGTAGAATGTGGATGATAACAGAACCCCTCACTCATGGGGGCGCTGTGGTGGAAGGAACTGGTGCCAGCGAGTGCTGTGCCAGGGGCTGGCTGTGCTGGTGGCTGTGAGGTGTCGCCTCCCTCAGCTGCTCAGGGTGGCAGCCTGGAAGATGGAAGTGATGTTTGCTCGACTCCCCACTGCCCTGCTCCTGCCTGTGCAAAGAGCCTCAGTCTTCCGCCTGGGAAATGGGAGCTGTAACAAGCACCCGGCTTCATGGAGTTGGGAGAGGCCGAGGTGGGTGCATCGGTGCCTGTGGGGTGGGGACTGGGTCGCCACCTGCTCCGCATTGAAGCCCTGGCCACCCCCGAGGCCTGCAGCAGCGGCTTGCTTTACAACCCAGGAAGCTGAAGCCCCAGCAGGGATGGGCCCAGGACGTGTGCGTGGGGACAGCCCGTGGCCCCTGTGTGCTCCTGGCTGCAGACAATGCCTCTTTTTTCTGGCCTGGCGGGGGCAGCCCGGGCTTGCTCAGCCTGGCCTGGGTTTACCAGCACATTGGGTTCTGTGGTGCGGCGAGCACACATTCCCTCTGAGAGAGATCGTGACGTTCCTCCGGAAACCGAGGTCTGGAGGCTCGGGTGACTGCGGGGGATGGCTGTGTGTGTGTGGGGGTGCCTGCTCTGAGAAGTGACCCAGATCAGAGCTGCTTTGCTGGGCAGTGTTCATTGCAAAGCTGCCGCCTGCTCCTTCACCCATGAGAGCCACTGACAGCTCAGGAAGGGACTGGGAGCCACCCACTCTCCCGCCAGGGTGACACAGGACAGGCCTCTCCCAGGCTTCTGCGTGGCCCCTTCCCTCTATATTGAGTCTGGCCTGGGTCTCCCATCCCATTTCTCTGCCTCCTCTTGGCTGACTTTGGACCCGTCCACACCTACGTGGATGAGGCACCTAGTGGGTGGAGGAGATCTGATGCCAGGGAGAGCCTATCTGAGAGTCTGTCTTTTAGGAGGGTTGCTGTCTTAGCCCTCTTGGTTGCAATGGACAGACTTCCTCTGCCTCCTGCATTTAGCACAAATAGTTCAAGTAACTAAAAACCTCAGAGAAGCTTCAGGCACAGCTGGATCCAGGTGCTCCCCATTTGCAGTCGCTATTAGCCTGAGACTAATAATAATTGCAGTTCAGCAACCCCAGTGGCAGGACAGCTTCCTGTTCCCAATATTCCAGCAAATCTGATGAGAATGAGTTTTACTGGCCCAGCTTGAGAGTTAAGCTCCACCCCCTTCACTGAAGCCAGTGCCACTTTGACTGGGGGGCAGGGGGCGTGGTTGCCCAGGGAAATTGGGGTGTGGTGTGCATAGAGTGGGGTCTGGGTGGACAGAGTCACTGTGTCTTGCTCCCTGTGTTGGAGATGGGCCCAGGTCAGGGTCTCTGCCCAGCCCTGCCTTTCGTGGCCAGTGTGTGTCCCATTCCGGTGGAGGGGGTGGCACTGATGAGTCACTGGGTTTCATTCCCGTTATAGTTAATAGTTGGGGGGCCTCTTGGGTCCCCCCTCCAAACTGTTGCTGGTGCTCTGCCTGCTATTCCCACATCACCCCGCTTCAGCTCCCCAGACTCCCTTCACCCTCTCTTGTGGCTTCCAGTGACCACGTCATAAGCCACAGGTCACGTCCTGGCAGCCCCTGAGCTGCATTTGGGTGTCAGACTGATTTATTGCGCTGGTTTTATAGTCAGTGTTTTTTAGAAATATCGGGAGATGTATCAACATTGGGCTTCTTGGCTTCGCCGGGAAGTTTTGGACGCCGTGGGCCCCATGTGTTCCAGCAGGGGCTGGAACATCAGGAACATTGCGAGGCCACAGTCCTGAGCCT